CTCCCCCCTCCTCTCAGGCAGTTGTAGGCAGCCATGAGGGCTCCCCTCAGCCTCCTCTGCTCCAGGCTGAACCCCCCCAGCTCCCCCAGCCGCTCCCCAGCAGCCTGGGGCTCCAGACCCCTCCCCAGCTTCGTGGCTCTCCTCTGGACACGCTCCAGCAAGGCAACGTCTTTCTTGTAGCGAGGGGCCCAACACCGAACACAGTTCAGAGGGGCCCAACACCGAACACTCCTCCAGGGGAGTCAGAATGTCTGTTGCCTGCGCAGTGCTGCACTCAGTCACCGAGACATTACTACAGCATGGAGTTCAAATTTGCTTCTGCTGGAAGAAAGGGAGTGACTTTCTCCACTCTACCTTGACTGGTTGCCCTCAGGTACTGGTTAAAAGCCCACATTTCATTTTTTAACTTCATCTCGAGCTCCCGCTTTGCTTAACTTACAGGAGGCGAGCAGGAGCGAGGAGCGTAGCGGTAGGAATGCACCGTTAGCTGGATCTTGTTTCTTTCCAAAACGGGACATCTTCAGAGTCCTGAGCTCGCGGCTCAGCAGTCTGTGCAATCCACCCTCTCTTAATAAGGTTTCAAAGAGCAAGTGGAGAGGGTTGCCTGAATGCAGAAAATCAGTTATTTTGGTAAGCACAAATCTTCCTCTTTTCGTATTCGCCATTGTATTCCTGGCTCAGCACCCCAGTAACAGAATGACGTGGCACAGCTAGCTCAAGCAAGCGTGGTTGATCGCGAGCGCTTTCGCCCCACGCGTGCCGTGACAGAGCGAAGGGGTTGAGAACATCCCCGGAAGGGCAGGCTCTGCCCTGGCCCCCTGCAGCTGCAATCCGACAGCCAGAGCCCGATCCCTTGCCCTGGAGCTTCCTCCCCCCAATGCCACGACAGCCTGAATCGTATCCAGCTCCATGTTACTTGGCACTTGTTTGCATCATTATTTAACGAGCAGAGGTGAGCTTACAGGTTTTGTTTAAAATGATAAAAATATTTTTGGATATATGTTCTCACAGTTGCACAGTAGAACAAGTATTTTCCTCGCTTTTCCTTAACCTACTCCGTAATTCAGCGCCCGCTCTTGCTCCTGCATGGCTGACGGCACCAGCAGCGCTGCAGCCGCTATCACCCTGCAGGTACTGGAAGAGTTATGAAGTGTCATGAGCTATGCTCCGTAGAATCTTAAAGCAGCCACAGAGCACATCTAGAAGGCCACAGGTGTTTAAATAACGAGCGCTTCGACTCAGTCATTTCACCCTCAGAACTGGTGCTAGAGGTCTGCCAAACCACCGCCACGCAGCCTACCAAAACCGGCGTTAGATTTTGAGTCTTTCAAGTAGCTCTCCAGGGCAGGGGCGTAGCAGGAACTTAGAGCCGTTCTGCAGGCCTCCAGAATTAAGAGTGTTCCTGGCAGAAGGCAGAGAGCTGATCCTAAAGAAGCGGCCTAAGCTGAGGTTAAACGAGAGATGGCAACTGCCTCAGACACAGGTCAAGGCACGACGTGGTTTCCTAGGCTCAGAAACCCCCCTGGACTGCATCCTCAGACTGAGGAAGTGCGCCTGGTTATTATGCAGAACATCACTGGGCATTTTTCATTATCCTCTAGAAATGTGCTAACGACTCCGTTAGCGTATTTTGAACCTCCTTGGGTGTAAGGAGGAAGAGCAAAAGAGGGCAGTGGCACAGGAAGGGATCCCCTTTCACTTTAGCACGTGATGTACTCACCATGAGACAGAGAGAGGATGGGGTGGAAGCCAGAGTCCAGGAGGGCTACGCGCTCTTCTAGGGACATGGTATCGGGGTCAATTGTCTGGACAGAGGCTTTGCAGCTACACAGGATGCAAGCGTTGGGCCATTCACAGCCACACTTCACGGTGAGAGGCTTCAGCGGCTGGCAGAAGAAAAGGAGATCCAACAGTTAATAAGGGAAACGTGTTTTGGATTTCAGTAAAACTGAAGTTTAGAGCCAGCACCTCCGGCCTGCTGTCTGCACACTAGTTAGTACCTTGTCTCCATTCTCCAAAAAGCAAAGCCAGGCAAGTTTTGAAAAACGGGTGGGGGGAACCCTAAAAACCAAGCCCATAACCAAGCAGCAGCTTTCCAGGGTGAAAAAAATAAAGCCAAGAGCCAGGACCAGTGTTACAAGAGTGTGCAAGAGTTCTAGCGCCAGCTGCTTCTCTTTCCGACCACAGACAGACCGCCTCAGCGGAGTAATTCAGTGTAGAGGGACACATGTCGTGTGATTCTTGACTATTTCCAAGCCAACAGAGCTGCTCCTCCGTGACTCCAGCGAAGCCGTAATACTTAATCGTTTTAAGTTTAAAACTTCAAGCACCTCTGTGCCTTTTCCCATCCTGTTCTTCCTCATCTTCCTCAAAGGCTTTTTGTAGCTCCAATGCTTCCAAAAAACCGGATAAAAACCTGTTAGGCGAGCAATCCACCACCACCAGCATCCACCATTCTGACCAATATCATCTTATTCTCTGCTTCTCCTCCCTTGCCCGTTGGAAGCGTAAGCTGCCACCGCAACAGCCCCCATGTCTTTGTTCAACCATTTTCCCCCACGCCGCCGCTGAGACAGACGCGACGCCCCTTCCCCGCCGACATATCAGGTGCCGTAGTATCAGTCAAACCAGAAGAGGGAGCATTAATAATGCCTTTTCCTATAGCCTAAGCAGACTGACTTAATCAAACTGGCTCCGCACTCTGGCGAAAGAAAAGGTCAGACCAGGAAAAGCAACACAACTTTTAATCCTTTTGTCTTAAATCCACAGCTTGTTAAATACCCCAATTATTTGAGGGAAAGGCTGCAAACAAGCAAGTCAGATCCGAGGGTATAACAAACTGATGGATGTTACCACACCCATCCTTCGTCACAATTAACACATTAACACCTAATCACCAGGTAAGGCACAGCTGAGTGTCTAAGGAGCGCTTATTCCGCCAGGCTCAGCAGCTCAGCCTTCACACAGGCACGACCCAGTGACACCCAGCCACACGCCAGCCCGCCGAGCCTTAGCTAAGGTTATGTATTCCTGGGGGGTTATTTTTGGCTCAGCGGTGGGTTTTGTCTTGTGGTTTGGGCTTGGTGGTTTATTTTCCTCCGGACAATTCCAAAGTAATCAACTCCAAAAGGTAACTGGCAGAAGGCTGCTGCCCACGCTGAAGCCTGAGGTTTGCTCTGGTCATCGTTACTCAGAAAAATCAGCTGCCTTATTTTTAAGAATGGAAATTTAAAAATCAGTTTCTAAATCACAGTTAAATAGAGAACTCGTGACTTTTTTTTTTTACATCTGGGAATTTCTCCTAAAATTCGACATGAATTTTAGGAAAGCGCTCAGAAAACACTATACTAAACCCAGAGTCCAACGCTATTTCCTAAAAATAAACAAACCCACACATTCTAAGTAAAAACACAGCATAGTAGCACCCAC